CCTTACTGTCTCGGCCACGTCTCTCTCCAGAAGAACCGACCTTTCCTGCTCTTTGTGCAACCAGACACACCTCTCCAAGGAAGGAGGGCAGGATTTCCACCATTACCACTGCCATATTAAAACAAAAACAAAAACAACAGGCTTGTCTAATTACCCTCTGCAGGAAGGGCGTACAAACAGGACGGGTCCTGGCTGAAACATCCCTGTAAAGATTTGGAAAAAGCACCTCCCCGCCCGCACCTTGTGCCCGCTTGCGGCCAGGGTTCCCTGACGGCCGGGCAGGGAACCCAGGCCACCGCGGAGGAAGGGTCCCCGGCCCCCGCCTACCCGCTCTGGCCTGTCTTCCCGCCCGCCTCAGGTGCCGCTCGCCCTTCCCGTCTGGCCCGCGCCACAGCGGCCCCTAGCCCGCACCGCCCCGTGGAGCCCGCACCGGGCGCGGGAGCCTGGAGCCGGAGCGCGGGGACCTGGAGCCGGAGCGCGGGGGCGGGGCGGGGGCGGGGCCTGCTCATGGCTGTTCCTGCAGAGAGGCACCACTTCCTGGGCATCAGCATCGTGGGCCAGAGCAATGACCGGGGTGACGGTGGCATCTACATCGGTTCCATCATGAAGGGCGGGGCAGTGGCCGCCGACGGCCGCATCGAGCCGGGCGACATGCTGCTGCAGGTGCGGGCTGTGGGGCTGGGCACCAGATGCACCCGCTGCCACCGGCCCTGACCCTGTGCCCCGCCACAGGTGAACGATGTGAACTTTGAGAACATGAGCAACGACGACGCTGTGCGGGTGCTCCGGGAGATCGTGTCCCAAACAGGGTGAGGCCATGGGGCAGGGCAGGGCCACGTCCCCCACAGTGAGGAGGGGTTGGGGCACAGGGCAGGGCAGGCTGCACGGCGCTCACCTGTGTGGCGCCTGTCGCAGGCCCATCAGCCTCACAGTGGCCAAGTGCTGGGACCCAACCCCCCGGAGCTACTTCACTATCCCGAGGGGTGAGTGACCTGCGGCTGGGGGGCTGGGGGGTGCCAGGGCCCAGCCTGAAGGCCTGTCTCCTCTGTGCCCTGTGCTCCCTCCGCCCCCATCCTCCTGTCCATCTGTCACTGCTGCCGTCCAGCTGACCCTGTGCGGCCCATCGACCCAGCCGCCTGGCTGTCCCACACGGCAGCGCTGACCGGCGCCCTGCCCCGCTACGGTACGAGCCCCTGCTCCAGCGCCGTCACGCGCTCCAGCTCCTCCTCACTAACCAGCTCAGTGCCTGGCGCTCCACGTAAGTGGCAGCTCACGAGACCCCTGGAGGGAAACCGAGGCTTGAGGGCGTGGGTTGGCCCAGCCTTAGGCTGGGCTCTTAGGCCATCACTGGCCTAGGACAGGCGTTGAGCCTGTCCCCAGTACCCACAGACACACTTGTGCCCCTCATGCAGCCGGGCCTGCTGATGTGGACCACGGAGCGCCCTGGGCCTGCCAGGCGGGGGTGGAAGGGGTGTGTGCCCCACTCTGCTTTCCTGCTGCTAACACAACTAATGCCCACGCTTGAGGGGAGGAGACTTGGGGGCAGGGGCCCAGCTGGTGTCCTGGCTCCGGTCTGTGGGTTGCTTGCTCTGGTCTGCGATCCTGTGAAGGGGCATCTGTGGGGTGAGATGGAGGCCTGCTCCTCGAACCTGGGGGTCCACCCTGCAGCCCCTCCTGGGATCCCAGGCTCTGCCTGGAGCCGGCTGCACCTGAGCTGAGAGGCTGTGCTTTGCAGAGCTGGAAGAAGCACCTCTGACAGTGAAGAGCGACATGAGCGCCATTGCCCGGGTCATGCAGCTGCCAGACTCGGGATTGGAGATCCGTGACCGCATGTGGCTCAAGATTACCATTGCCAATGCTGTTATCGGTGAGTCCTGCTCGGCCTCTGCCAGGTGGCAGGGGATGGGGCGGTGTAGGGAAGCAGCCGGCCAAGCTCCAGGCTGACTGGCTGTGTGGCCAGGGGCGGATGTGGTGGACTGGCTGTACACGCACGTAGAGGGCTTCCGGGAGCGGCGCGAAGCCAGGAAGTATGCCGGCAGCATGCTGAGGCGCGGCTTCCTGCGGCACACGGTGAACAAGATCACCTTCTCCGAGCAGTGCTACTATGTGTTCGGGGACCTGTGCAGTGGTGAGTGGGGGTGAGGCCTGGGAGGAGTGATGAGTGGGGGTGAGGGGACTCAGGATCCACACACTCCTCCCCTGCTTCCCCTTGCCAGATCTCGCAGCCCTGAATCTCCACAGTGGCTCCAGCGGAGCCTCGGATCAGGACACCCTGGCCCCACTGCCCCACCCAGCCACAGCCTGGCCCCTAGGCCAGGGCTACCCCTACCAGTACCCTGGGCCCCCACCCTGCTTCCCGCCTGCCTACCAGGACCCCAGCTTCAGCTATGGCAGTGGCAGCGCTGGGAGCCAGCAGAGTGAAGGTGAGAGCCTGCCAAGTGACCCTGTTGCCCACCGCCCACCCTGCTCTCCGGCTGCTGCCCTGAATCCCTGCTGTGTGCTTAGGACCTGGGGACTCCTCTGGGGTCTGGGGAGGAATTCAAGAAACCTGGGGCTTTGCCGTTGTGCCTGGGGTGGCTGGTGGTCCAGGTTTGGCAGAGGCCAGAGCTCAAGGATGGTGTGGTGGGGCCGTGTGGCCAGAGGGGTGATGATCAAGAGCATTGGTCAGGATCACTTTCCAGGCCTAGGACAGGAGGGTGGACTCCATCCCCGGGGCCCTGCAGCCCACAAGGAATTGTGGAGAGCTGGGAAGACCTTGGAGCCGAGCTGAGGCCGAGGGGCAACATGAAGACCGTGGCTGTGTGTGCAGGGTCTGGGGAGAGGTGCAGCCAGCTGGCCCAGGGGACAGGAGAGGTGAGGGCAGGGGTGGCTGTGCCCAGGGAACCTGTTGGTCTTCAGACCCTGCACAGGCACTTGCTCCCACCCAAACCCGACCCGGCCGCTGCCAGGCCCAGCTGGTGGCAGGCCCGGTGTGTAACTTGTGCTATCCCTTGCTTTGTGCTGAGCAAGCCTTAGACTGAAGGACTAGCGGAGTGGACCCTCGGGGCCGGTAAGCCAGGGTCCCACCCGGCGTCCCTCTTGGCATGTCCCTAGCCAGCCTCTGTCCTCAGGTTTCCACTCCTTCCTGGAGCCCAGGACAGGGGCCGAGCGGTTAGCTGACCAGGGCCCCAGGGTGGGTGGACAATGGTTCTCTGGGTGGGAGTCCAAGATGGCCAGCAGGAGTGCTGGGCCCTCAGGGGCTTTGCTGGGGCCTCAGTTTCTCAGCTGGGAGAACAGCCCTCAGTTAAAGCACTGGGGTGAAGTGTGGGCTCTGAGCTGGCCTGTGTCCCTTCTGCTGCTGCCACCCCATCCCCTTCCCCTGGGCAGCTCCTGCTTCATGGGCTGGGCCCAGACCCACCCTTGTGTTTGCATGGCTGCTCCCCCTGCTTGGTCCCTTCCTGCCAACTGCCTGGGGCAGTGGTGGCCCTGGGGTTGGCCAGGCTTGGCTCACCCACCCTCCGTTCTCATTTCCAGGGAGCAAAAGCAGTGGGTCCACCCGGAGCAGCCGCCGGGCCCCAGGCCGGGAGAAGGAGCACCGGGCGGCTGGAGCTGGGGGCAGCGGCAGTGAGTCGGACCCTGCGGCGCCCAGCGGGGTGGGCAGCGCCGGCTGGTGGGAGCGCCCTGTAAGCCAGCTCAGCCAGGGCAGCAGCCCGCGTAGCCAGGCCTCGGCTGTTGCTCCAGGGCTCCCCCCACTGCACCCCCTGACAAAGGCCTACACAGTGGTGGGTGGGCCCCCGGGGGGACCTCCTGTCCGGGAGCTGGCTGCTATACCCCCAGAGCTGACTGGCAGCCGCCAGTCCTTCCAGAAGGCCATGGGAAACCCCTGCGAGTTCTTTGTGGACATCATGTAACTGGTGGGCAGTGCCTTCAGCCCCGTCCAAGGCGGGGCTCCCATCCTGCTGCACTGGGAGCTGCTGGGGTTGCCTTAGTGGTGGCCGGCTAGTGACAGGCCAGCCTGGGGCTCTGGGCCCGGCTGGCAGTGGGCAGAGGCTGGAGGCCAGGGGCTGAGGACAGCCACCTCCCGCCGGGTCCCTGGGCAGTGAGCAGCTGTGTCCCTGCTGATCCTTGGGGGAAATCATTTCCTCAGGCAGGTCTGACCTTCCTTCCAGCATGGGGCTCCAGGGCACCTGACCCCTCCTTTAGAGGCGACCTGTATGGGCTCGGCGTTGCCCCTCACTCTCCTGGAGCCATGCAGAGGCCTCACCTGAGCTGGCCTGAAGCCCCTCCTCACCCAGCACATTGGCCCTGCCCGTGTCACCCAGGCCCCTCTGGTCACTCAGAGTGGGATCTAACTTATTTATTTATTGCTGCCCTGCCTACCATGAGGGTGGTGGCTAGCTAGTTGTCCCCTCCCCACCCAGCTGGGGCAGTGTGCATGTTCCCGCCCCGCTCTGGGACTCAGAGCAAGTGTGGGGAGTGCAGGCCATGACAAAGTGTGGAGGGCAGGGAGCTGGGAGGGCCCTGCACCCTGCAGTGTCTCCCTGCAGGCCGAGGGCTCTGGGCAAGACGGCAGCCAGCCTGGCCTGGCCTCACTGTCGGGGCCCACCCTCCCGCCCTGCCGTCTTGGCTCGCCTGGCCTCCGAACATCTGCGCTGTAGATTCCGTGTCAAAAGTCCGAGCATCTGGGTGGTTCAGTAGAGCTGCTCCTGTGTAAATGCTATTTTAAACACTAAAAAGCATTTAATTTTATGAGGCTGGTGTTTGGCCCATGTCCCTACTCTCTGTGGGGTGCTCGGGACTTGGGTGTGGGGGCTGCTCCAGCGCTGACCCGGTCTGACCAGCACCATCCTGAGTGTGCGCTGCCTCCAGGCTCTGTCCCCAGTGCTAGCCAGCCGTTTTCTGTCCTTGGTCCTGGTTCCAGGGGTCCCGGTGGTGGGTGCTGGCCATGGTGCTGACGCCCACCTCCGCCCGTGCTCTGTCCGAAGTACTGGTGGCAGGCAGGGCAACCCCCTCCCACCCGGGCTTACCCTGAACCAGGCCGGGTGCCGCCCCTCCCCTCCTGGGTGGGCTCCTGCCCTGCTGCCTGCTCTGGGCCTACCCCAGGCACAGCAAGGCGAGTGGTGGGCAATTTGGCCTGCCTTTGTCTCCCCAGGGCTTTCCTGAGCTGAGGAAATGGTTCTGGGCCCCAAGGAACTTCTGGGAGCCCCTTTGGGGCAGTGGAACAGGCCCCGAGGGCCCCTCTCACACACTGCAGGCCTGGGGTCACAGGTCAAGGTCAGCTTGGAGTCAGAATCTGTTGTGCTTTTTTTCCGGTACTGGGGCTCGAACTCAGGACCTTGCGCCTGTGAGGCAAATGCAGATGCCACTGAGCTAAATCCCCGGCCCTTGGGGCCAGAATCTATAATAGGAGGGTACTAGTCTAGTGGTTGGGTTGAGGGGTCCTACAGGGGCTGAGTTCACTCAGGTTGAGGTCCTGGGGTCAGGGGTCACTCAGGGCCTCCCTGAGCCCTGTCCCTGCCTGCGCTGCCAACCCCACCTGTGGTGTCCCTAGCGCCCTGGCCTAGAAAGAACTTGGGGGTGTTGAGCTCTGGCCACCACAGCAGCAGGTAGCACTTGGGCAGGTGAAAGATGGCCAGTATGCCCAGGGCACAGAGGAGGATGGCACCCATCTGCACAGCAGGCTGGTACAACACCTGCACGTTGGTCAGGAGGGGCACGAAGGAGACCCAGGTGACAAAGTAGGCCAGCATGGCGAAGGTGAGGCCACGGGCGCGGTTGTAGTGGCCAGGCTGGCTCTGCACCAGAAAGGTGCCCAGGAAGCAGAGGAAGGCCAGTGTGGCATTGGTGACATGCACCAGGCCCAGGCCCACCCAGGAGTGCATGTGGCAGTGCACCAGCACCTCCCTGGGCAGCACCCTCCAGTCCATCACCACCTGGGATGGGAAGACTGTGAGGGACCAGCCACAGAGTGCCCCCTCTACCAGGGTCAGCAGCAGCACCAGCAGCCAGGCCCAGGGCCCCTGCAGGCGCCCACGCAGCCAGGCTCCCCAGGCAAGCGGCAGTTCCGACTCTACAAAGGTCTCGGCTGCCTGCAGGAACAGTGTACTCAGGCAGCCTGTGAGAGGGAGGTGGGCCACAGGCTGCTGGGCCAGGCAGCTGGTGGACCCCGGCCAGCCAGGGAACAGGAGGACACTGAGGCAGACAAGGCCCAGGCAGGCCAGGCCAAAGCAGGCCAGTGGCCCCCCTGAGGCCTGGACCAGTGGGCTGTCCCTGTGGTGGATGAACAGCCCCAGGGCTGCCAGCACCAGGCCCAGCACCAGGCCCAGCAGCAAGAGCAGCAGCAGGACGGCTGGATCTCCCCATTCCAGGAACCTAGGCCTGCGGGGAAAGCAGCGAGTGCTCCGCTCTGGGGACCACTGGTCCTGGTCACATTGGGTACAGGTGAGGTCATCTGCAGGAGGCAGGAGAGAAGGAGAGAAGGGGCTCTGTGGGCTGGTGCAGGGTACACTGGGGAGCCCTGCACCCCACCTTGGTTTCTGGCCTCCCCATCAGCCTCACAGCCAGCAATGGGGGGCTCTGATCCCAAACTGTAGACTGGCTGAGTAGATGACTCACCTGGGTTCTGCCGGTAGCTGCCTGCTTTGCAGTCCACACAGTCGTAGCAGCAGGAATGGAAGCCCTTCACCCGGCGCACCTGGCCCTCACGGCACTCCTGGGAGCACTGAGATACTGGAGCCTGGCAGGGGACCTCATGCTGGGCTCATAGGGCTGGGTCCCCAGCCCAGAGACATTCCAAGCCCCTGGGTCGTGGCTGGCCCTGGGGCTTCTCTGTGGCTGGGACCACGTGCCCTGTGCTTACCTGGTTGGTTGGTGTGTGCCAGCGCATATGTGTGAGCTGCAGCTGGAGGCTGCCATTGAAGGTCCCCACGGTGTGCAACTTGGGTGTCAGGCTCTGCCACACCCACATTTTCAGGTCATATTCCATATCCACGTTTCCAGTGTCATCGAACTGCAGCTCCAGGCCTCGAATGCTGAAGCTCATGTTGTACATGCTATCCAGGAGCTGGGGGTGGGGTGGGGACGAGACTGCCCTAACCAACCGACCACCAAGACCAGCCTGGGCACCATGATCTGCAGCCCCCACCCCATGCTCACCTGCCAGGGCCTCACGGGCTCCTGTGTGGGGCAGCTGCAGGGGCTGCACTGCAGGGTGTGGTGGAGGGCCTGGGCCACAGTGTACACGGCTGCGTAGGTGGCAAAGATCTGGTGGTGCAGCTGGCCCGCTGACAGGTTCTGCACCAGCCCTGCTGACAGGTTCTGCAACGTGATTTGATCACACTGTGGGCAGCGTGGTCCCACCACGTCCTCCTCCAGGTCCCGCTCAGCAGCCAGTGAGGCACAGAAGGCTGGGTCAGCGGCCAAGGCCAGGTGGGTCTTCACGTAGTGGAAGAACTCAGGCAGCAGGGCGCCTCTCTGCACAAACCCAAGAATGGTGCCCACCTGATGGATGCCAGGCAGCGTCATGACCAGATCTGAGGTCAGCCAGGCCTCACTGCCCACCCACACCTTGGGCGTGAGGCTGTGGCTGATGCTGTACTGGAACAGGGAGTGGACGGCACGAGCCGAGGCGAACACCACCACCACCTGCACCTGGCTCTGGTTCACCTGCTGCAGCACGTCCTGCACCTTGCCCAGCCGCAGGCTGTCGGCTTGGGGCAGCAGCACAAGGCTCTCGTGTGCAACGCAGATGTTCCGGGCATGGGCCAGGTTTGAGAAGGTGCTCAGACCCTCTCTCCCGTACTCATCATCGCTACCCAGGGCTGCCACCCAGTTCCAGCCAAAGTACTGCAGCAGTGTCACCATGGCTTCCAGCTGGACGCGGTCGCTGGGCACCGTGCGGAAGAAGGAAGGAAACGTCTCCCGGTTGCTCAGCCTGTCCATGCTGGCGCCGTAGCTGACCTGCAGCGGCCCAGAGGCACCTCCTGATGGGGGGCTCATGCAGGCAGGGCTGGCAGGGGGACACAAGGAATGGTGGGCCCACCTGTGGCATGAGGAAGAAGCCAAAGAACTTGCCCGTGATGAGGGCGAGCTCCGAGGAGTGGGGGCCAATGACAGCCAGCACTCGGGGCTGGTACTGTGTGTAGTTGCAGTAGGCGGCAATGTTGCGGCTGTCCACCTTGGCCAGGAACATGAGACTGGGCTTCATGGTGACCACAGGCTCCGAGCACGTGTCAAAGAGGTCATAGCCCAGCTGCAGCCCAGGCAGCAGGGTGGAACTGTTGTTGATTTCCTCCACGGCCATCTTCAAAGCCATCACCAAGAACAGGCCAACAGTCGAGAGCCTGAGGCCACACAGGGCCATGGGGGCTGCTATTTCATCCCAGGCTCGGGAGCACCCAGCCCACCCACCTCTCCTGCCCCGGCTGCCCACCTCCGTACCTGGAGCACGTGCTGCTGTCGGGCTGTGTCCTGTGGTGCAGTTGAGTCTCCTCAGCCAAGCCCAGGGGGAAGAGCCCTCCCAGTACGTAGTCCCCTTGCATCCTGAATTGCCTCGACAGGCACAACAGGGCCCCTGTTCCAAGGCCCAGGAGAGCCATTAGGCTGAGGCCCAGGACCGCCAGCCCTGGCATGGCAGGTGGCAACTTCCAGCACGGAGAGCAAGAAAGTACGCCGAGCAGGAGCCCCAGATATGTAGTGAGTCCACAGGAAGAGGCAGAGGATTTGTTTAGCAAAACCAGTGCCTTGCTCACCTGTCAAACCCCCAGGGGCCCCGACTACGTCCTCAGCATCCTGAGCCCTAAAGGTTCAGGCACGTAGGACTTTTGCTTTTGAATACTAGGGACTGAACCCAGGGTCTTTGCACTGAGCTACATATATCCCCAGCCCTTTTTATTTTGTGACAGGGTCTCACTTTTTCCCAGGCTGGTCTCTGAACTTGTGACCCTTCTGCTTCAACCTCTCAAATACTGGGACTGCTGGTGGGTGCCACTGTGCCCTACTTGTCAGACTCTTGTCCTGATCTCCCCACAAGGCTCCGAGTGGCTCCTGCCTGTGCCAAGCCCCATGGCAGCCCCTTTCCTGGAGTAGACGGCATTCTGTGGGCATCCAGGACCCTAAGAGCTCAGCTGTGTTCAGGGATGAGGAGGTGCCAAGGCCTGTGGGGCTTTTCCTGGACACAAATACCTGGGAGGTTTCTGGCTCCCAATCCTTCAAGTCCACAGTTGGAGGACTACAGGTGACCCTTCCAGGCTGTCTCGAGCAGTGTGGACCTGCCAAGGGTCCTACCGTAGCTGTTCCACTGCCAGGGTGCCAACTCCCAGAAGCTACAGAAACCTTGTGGCTGGCTGTGCTCACTCTGGCCCTGGCACAGGCCATGCCCTGGCTATGGTGCAGGTGCTGCTGGGTCAGCTTGCAGCTGGACCCAAAGGAGGGGCCCATGCAAATGAGGGAGGAAGGGCTGTAATCAAATGGGCTCCAGCTGCCAGCACCAGGTGTGTGCCTTGGTGGTGGGAGCGGGGACAGTGGCTGCTCCCTGCTGGGTTCTGGTTCTGGGAGAGACTTTGTGGACACAGCAGGGGACTACACAGACAGAAGTGGTGGAGGCTTTTGGCTCTGCTAGGTGGGGTGGGGACCCTGGGCAGTCTACAGCTGGGGCCCATTGGATATTCATCTCCTCCCCGCTGTCCTGAGGGCCCCATACGGTGCACACGCCACAAACTCATGGACAGCATATCCTGAGCTGCACCTGCATCCTCGCTCCCTGGCCCATGTGGACTCAGCTGTTTACTTAGCCACTCCCTCATTGCCAGCCCCATGTGGATGCTGGCTTCTGGTGGGTGGGCAGAGCCTTAGGCCAGGGTGGAGGACCAAGACGACCCACCTGTGTGCAGCCTCTGCCTGTCCAGCTACTGTTGCGGCCTCCTGGGCCTCTCCTGCAGTGTGTGGCTGGCCTCGGACCTGCCCTTTTGACCCAGGTCCCCAGGAGTGACCCTGGGCAAGTCTGTTTAATCACCTGAAAAGTAGGGGGCGTGACCAAGCTAATGTTCTCCAGGAATGGGAATAAAGCACCACCTCCTAACCCTGCCTGCTGTCCCGGGCTGGTCTCATGTCCCCGTGGCTGACACTGCCCTTTGAGCCCCTGGGGTCAGGGAATGCATGGTTCAGCTCTGTGCCTGGGGTCCTTTGTGGAGTCTTCCAAGTCATCAAGCACCTGGTGGACCCCTGTACCCATCCTGGAACACCATACCCAGTCCTGTAAGTGTAATTTTATTATGCTGAAAATTACCACATGCATCGGGTAGCAGGCAAATTCTGCAAGCTGACATTGATGCATCCGCTTCCCTGTAGGCACTGTTTCGTGGTCTGTCCTAGGTCCAGGCGGAGAGGCCAGGTCCCCAAGCGCTGGGTGGTGGCTGCTGGTAGTGAGGGCTGGCCACTTTCCCACACCATGCCCCACCAGGACGTGCTGAGCACGTGGGGGCGGGGCAGTAGGGCAGGGGAAGAAGTGTGGCATCTTGTGGGGTGCTGCCAGGGAGGATGAGGCCTGGCTCCACCCGGGGTGTTGGGCTCCCAGGACCTCAGGCTGAGCGCAAGTGCCTTGTAACAAGCCCTGTAGGAGCTGATGCTTGCAGTGGCTCTGGAGGGCTTCCCAGGACTTTCTAGGGCCCTTGGACAGAAAACTGCTGGCCTGTTCTGTGTGAGGCCAATGAGGTGAAGGGCAAGAAAGCTCACCATGCCCAGATTCCAGCCAGGGTATAGAGAGGACTGAGGCTGCCTGCCTGACACAGACACCGTTTCTATCGCGTCCTGGCTCTGTGACAGGCATGCAAAACTAAACACTTGGCTGGAGGAAGACAAAGCCTCTGTGTCCAAGGGACTTGTGACCATATGCCTTTCACAAACATGGATGGGACAAACCCTCTGGCTGCTGCTGTCCTGCCTGATCTGCTGTCTGTACCTCAGTAAGGCCGGAACTGAGCATGTGTGTAACTGAGGCTGAGGGTTAGGCTATGGCTCAGAGGGCCACAAGCCTGCATTTCCTGTTTGCCCATGGCTTCCAGCAAGCTCAGCTCACTGGGGTGACAGTGGCACCCAAAAAGCTGTGTGTAGAGTGGAGGCCTTGGCCTGCCCAAGCCCTGCAGCGGGGAGCCACTGACCCTGGGTGCTGGCTGCTAGGGCAGGTTCAGCAGGGAGTGCTCAGCATAGAGCCTCTGGGAAATGTCATACACTTGCTTGATAAAGGGCAGGGCCTCGCCTAGCATCTCCACAGCCTCCTTAGGGGACCCCATGTTCATGGCTTCAAGAAAGGCCTTGCGTGAGGGCAGGGTGCAGAAGGCTACTGTGACAGCTTGTCGCACAATCCACGGGTGGTAGGCAGCCAGCGAGGCATTGTAGGAGTCAACGCAGAGTGTGGAGGTGCGTGCATCCTCAGGGCTAGTGCGCAAGCCTTCCAGGAACAGCTGCAGCCAGTGCAGAGCCCGGTGCAGGCGCAGCATGGTTCGGCAGCCTGAGTCAGGGTGGCGGGAGCGACGATCCAGGTCTACCAGCCCATTTCCCACCTCGTAGGCCACCATGGACTGCAGGCTCATGTAGTGCTCACACTGAGGGCTGCTCCTCAGGTGCTCTATGATGTGCAGCTTTGAGACTACGTCCTTGGAAATGAATGAGAAGACCGTGCCCAGGCTGTTCAAAAACCTGTGTGGGAAACAAGAGCTTGAGGCCCCATGCAGCTGCACAGGGGACATCATCTGTCCTGAACTACTGGGGACATTTCTGCCTGGAGGAAGGACAGGACAACTGAGAATGGCCCACCATCACCCCGCTCTGTGCCCAGTGCCAAGCAGGAAGCAGATACCACCCATGCCTGCTGACAAGCAGCACCACCACTTGCCACTTCCGGCTTGGCCCTCTATAGGAAAGCAGCCCCCCCTGCACACACCTGACCAGTCCCTTCCAGCTGGTGATGTAGTGGTCCAGCAGTACCTCCTCCTTCTCGTTGAAACACTGCTTAAAACTGGCCAGGACAACTTTCAGGTTGAAATCTGCCTCTGAACCATCCATTTTCCAATATGAACTGAAACACAGTTTTATACAGAACTTCTGGGCTGTCTTGCTGCCCAGCTCACTCCACACCTCATTTCCTGTCCACCCTGGAGGGTGGAGGAGGGGTGGAGGAGTCATTGAAAGAAAGAGCCAGAATCCTGAAACTCCTCTCCAAACCTATGGTGAGACCCTGTCCCCTTTCACAGGGCTCCCTTGACAGGAGCCACACTCGGACATGCTTGGGCAACCATGCTGTGCCCCTTGCCCGGACCTGGGGATGGCCCCTGCTTGTCATGCAGATCACTAACTCAGGGCAGTCCCTGCATGGGACCACCATGCTCCATCCCATTTGTAGCAGGCCTCCCTGCTGAGGCTTCTTGCTTGTTTTCTGATCCTCTCCCTAGGGTCCCTATCTGTTTTCAGGCACTGGACAAATGTTTCAGAGAGGCTGGCACAGGATAGGGCACTGGGCTGCATCTAGAGCTCTGTGCTCTCAGGGCAACATTCTATGTTTAACTTTTTTTTTTTTTTTTTGGTACCCGAGATCAAACTTGGGTCCTTGCACTTGCAAGACAGGCGGCGGCGGAACCACTGAGCTAAATTCCCAGCCCCTCAGGTCAACATTCTAATGGGAGGGGGTGTCAGACTCAAAACCAGGGGCTCTGAGATAGTAAATAATTCTGACACAGCAGGTTAGGACATAAATACTTTGGACATGGCAGGAGAGCACATGGGGAGGGTGGCTGGGTGGGCCTCCTCCTTCCTTGTTTGCAGCTGCACCTCTGGAGCCAGGGCAGAGGTGGCGGGGTGGCATTTGCTGGGTTGACAGGCACCAATCTTCACCGTACACATCGCACACAGGGTGGCTAGGCCAAAGGTCGCACCACGCTCAGGAGGCTACCACAGGCCCCTTACCTCCATGGAATATTCTGAAAATGGCCCAGGACACAGGCTTTGAGGTTGGGGTGGGTTTGAGTACTCTTGCATTCTTACAGTCACCCCACAACATCTCAGCGTCTACACGTGTGGGTGCCTGCAAGCACCCCTGCCCCACCTTCCCTGGTGCCCAGGGCAGACCCTGTCAGGCAGGTCTGACAAGCTTCAGAACTAGGCTGAACCTCACCCCACTGCCCTGGGGTCCTCTGTGCCCTTTGGCGCTGGGAGCCTTCCCCTGACCTCGCACTTGCAGGGCCCTTAGCACCCCAGCTGTGCTGAGAGCCCCAGACAGGTGCAGGACACCTGGGCCCCTAGAAACTCACAGCAGCACCCTGTGGCTCAGTCCTTCATCTCAAGGTGGTCTGGGGCCCGGGGCGCACGGTCCCGGTGTCTAGCGCGCCTCGCCCTCTTGCGGTGCCGTGTCCACTGAGCGGATGGTCTATGAGCCCCTGGGGTCCCTTCTGCGCCCCCCTGGATCCTGTCAGCTCGGCCTTCCTGCCCAGGACCGGAGCCTGAGGCCAACAGGACGCATCGCGGGGTGCGGGGACGCAGGAAGGGCAGCCAGCGGGCGCCTCTGAGCCTCCCCAGAAGGTCGCCGGGCGCGGTCCGGGGAAACCGCAAGTCTCACCTGGGGCGAGCGCACCAGGTCTTCGTCTGGCCCGGGGCACCGGGCGCAGTGGAGGTGGGCGGAGAGGAAGGGGCGGCCGCAGCTCTGAGGTCCGCGACACCCGGTTCGCGCTTGGCCCTGCCAGTTACGCTCCGCCCGCCGCCCGCCAGTGGTCAGGTGCCGGCGGGTCTGGCTCCACCCCACCGCCATGATTGGTCACGGGTCGCCCAATCAGGATCCGACAAACCGGTCAGCGTTTCCGGCGAGCGGACCGGAAGCTGTCGCCCCCGCGACGGTACCCGCGGAGTGCACCTATCTCGCGGGATTTGGGGTGGTGTCGTCTGTAGGTGCAGTCGCGGTTGGCCGTCCCCCGCCTTCCCTGCCGGAGGAGCGCGGCGGACCAGGGAACACACAGTGCCGCCCGGCGATGCCTGAAATCAGAGTCACCCCTTTGGGTAAGACGTTTGTGGCCCACGAGCCCCGCGAGGCCCTCTTTCCTCGGCCCCCAGCGCCGCCCGCGGCCGCCCTCGCCGCGAGGAGCGGAGGCGGCTTTCCTAGTTTCTGGGCCGGCGAGGAGCGGGTCGGAGCGGGATCGGGTCCTGGCCCAGGGCTTGCTGTGTGGTATCAGGGAGTCTCAGGCGGCCGCGAGGTAGAGTGGGTCCCGAGTGGGAGCTGCCTCTGCACCAAGCGAACAGTGGCGCCAACTCCATCCTGCCCGTGTCCACCTTTGCGCATGCAGCGTCAGGACCTCTGGTTCTCTCCACCTTCATCATCTACTTACTCCCAGGTTACTTGTAACCAATTCTCAGTTTGACCCTCGTCCTACCTGGTCTGCAACATTTAAAAAAAACAACAACTTTGGGGCGGGGGAGTGGTGGCGCATCCTGGTAATCCCACCACTCCGGAAGGATGAGGCAGAAGGATCGCAAGTTCTAGCCCAGCCAGGGCAACTTGGTGAGACCTTGTATCAAAATGAGAAAAGGCCGGAGTTTAGCTCAGTGGTTCTGGCGCCTGCCTCGAAAGCGCAAGGCCCCGAGTTCGTTCCCCGGTAGCAAAAAAAAAAAAAAAAAAGAAAGAAAGAAAGAAAGAAAAAAGGGCTAGGGATATAGCTCAGTGCAGAACACTTGCCTAGCATGCATGAGGCCTTGGGTTCAATCCCAGGGCTGAAAAAGAAAAAGAAGGAAAAAAATTTTGCTGCTTTTTGCAAAAATCAAAACTGCAGCCTCTAGTAGAACAGTGTGGAAGAGGAAATAGTGCATTGAAATATAGGGTCCCGGGACCCTCCTGGATGTCTCTGGACTTTCTTTGTGCTTATGCTGAGCTGTCACAGAACTCGCTTCTTTTGCTAGATGGGGTGTCAGAAACACTTTCTTGTTCTGTGCAGGTGTCCTGCTCTGCACTCCGGATCACCTGACCAAATACTGAGTCCCCCTAGGTCACTTCACCACAGGGCCTTTGTACAGCCATTCCCCCTGTCCTGGCTACCTGCTAACCACCTGCTGGGAAGTTATCTTTTCCTGGGTCTTTTCTGCCATGGTTTTGAAGTTTCTGGGCGTCCCGTCCCCTTCCCTGCCTTACTTTTCTCTACCATGGTGACCTCCACTTGATGTACTCAGGCTGTGTCATTGCCCCTCACCCTAGGATGTGAGCCCCACGTGGACAGGGATAGCTCTTCCTTTGCATTCTGAGTGCTGTCTCCTTTCATGTGCTGGGCTGAGGCTGTTTCCCCGCTGCTCTGCCCAGTGCCAGCAGCTGTTCTTGCTCTGAAGTTGTGGGTCCCACTGGAGGAAGGACAGTCAGTGTCACAGCGCTGGGCCTTGGACTCTGGACACCAGCCTGGCCCCACCCTTGTTGGTTGTGTGTCCCTGGGTGACTCCCTTACCTCAGGTCCTTACCTGTGAAGGGGGCAGGCCTTCCCCTCTTGCCCTGGAATGGCTTCAGGTCTGGAGGTGCAGTGTGGGGAGACAGTGGGCACTCCAGCCTCAGGAGCTCACACCGTGGGGCAATGGGAACGGGCCTGCAAAAGAACCCATACTTACTAGGTGCAGGGGCACATTTCTGGCATGCCTGTAATCCGGGCAGCAAGTTCAAGGCCAGTTGGGCAACTTAATGAGACTCTTTCAAAAACTGAAGGGGTGAAAAAAAAAACTAAAGGAATGACGATGTGGCCGAGTGGTAGATGCTTAACATGAGCAAGGTCCTGGGTTCAATCCCCAGTACCTCTAAGAAGAAAGAAAGACCCTAAGCCCTTCCACTGGCTGACTGCCTGATGGCCTGGCCAGGCTACTGTGCCATGTGTGGTGGTGATGGCTGAATGGTCCATGTGTCTGGCAGAGGGAGTTGAATTGGATTAATGACGGAAGCCAGGCCCTTTGCTGTTCTCAGAGCCCCCTTTCCCTGTGGCCCCAGAAGCTGGGGGAGGTGGCAAATGGCCATATGGGAGAATGGGTTTGTCCCACCTGGCCTTGGGCTGGAGCTGCCCACGGAGCTACCTGGTTGTCAGCAGAATGGAGGACACTGTTTGGGGCTGAGCTGGGGATGCTCAAGGGGCCCAATGGTGGGGGCCCCTGTCGCACCTGTCTGGGCTGGGACATCTGTGCTGTGGCAACAGTTATTAGTTATTGTTAGATAGCCAGGGCCATGTCTCCTTGTGGCTGGGCTGAGGCCACATGAGTGTCCCTCTGCTGTGGCTCTGTGAAGGGGTCCCCAGCCCCAGAACTTGGCCTCCAGACCTTTACAAAGCCCAGGGGGATCGAGGTTTCAGCTGTTGACAGCTTAGCCTAGGACCCAGGAAGGACCTGACTGAGCTTTTGGGGAGCACCAGTGAGGCCCTGCAGAGCCGCAGCTTGCCTTTGTTGGTACTGGGGGCAGTGACAGTGCCTCATTCTCTGCCAGAGTTCCAGCCGTGCCTGGTGACTTGGTGGTCCTCTCCTGTGCATCTCCCTTGCCTGCTTTCCCACCACACATCTGTGCAAAGGGTGCCCTTGAGGTCCAGTTTCCTTCCACTGAAGGCCTTGAGGAGCCTGGGAGGAAGGGAGAGGGGGCATGGCTGTGCCTCTGACCTGTGCTTTTGCTTGAGCAGGGGCTGGCCAGGATGTCGGCCGCAGCTGTATCTTGGTCTCCATCGCTGGCAAGAACGTCATGTTGGACTGTGGCATGCACATGGGCTTCAACGATGATGTGAGTCCTTCAAGCAATAGTCCACAGGCGGGGAGGCCACCACACACCTGCTGCTAGCAGGGTCCCTGGACTTTGACTGAAGGACAGACGAGGGGAGTGGGTAGCAGTGGGCACCCTTGGGCAGCTGCAGCCATGCATTGAGTGTGTCACACTGTGTGACAGGTGGGCTGGGACTGAGGCGAATGCCTGGCCCTGTAAGAGCTTGTGAGGGCCAGGCCAGGGATTTAGCTCAGTGGTTTCGCCACCTGCCACGCAAGCGCAAGTTCCCGAGTTTGATCCCCGGTACCAAAAACAAACAAAACAAAAAGAGCCTGTGAGCTGAGCTCAGTGTTCAGATTCTAGTTTGAGAGGTCAGCAATGACCTCAGTCAGCAGCAAGACCCTCTCAGGATACTAAATACAGTGCTACAGGTGGTACCCCAGGCTGGGGGTGCACTGACCCCTCTTCCTGTGGTTGCTGGCCCTGCTGCTGTGGGAAGGCCTGGGGCAGCAGCTGCTTTCTGACCATGTTCTTGATTCTCCTCAGAGGCGCTTTCCCGATTTTTCCTATATCACCCAGAATGGCCGGCTGACTGACTTTTTGGACTGCGTGATCATCAGGTGAGTGTGGGTCTGGACCGTGGTGAGCTGCCCACTGCCTGGGTCACAGGGCTCTGTCCCCAGGTTGTCTGTGTGCCTCACTCCTCATGGGGGGACAGCCCCTCAGTCGGGCATTCTGGGCAGAGACCAGAGCCAGGGCAAACAAGCCCGGAGCCTGTAGCCAGGTCGGCCACTCCACCAGTGCCAAGCGGTGCTGAGCCCAGCACTGCTCCTGGGTCCCACTGACTCTCGAGGCCTCTCAGCTGCACATGGCAATGGTGACAGCTCCCTCTCGCTTCCTCCTAACCATCCAGTGTGTGCTTGTTCCTCTCCCTGACCTCTAACTTGGGTCTTCTGGCTCCATGCTCCGATTCCCTCACTGCCTCAGGAATGCCAAGCCCTGCGGGCCACTCTAGACATCTGAGTTGCCTTGACCCCAAGCTCCAAGTTCGAAGTCTAGCCACCGGCCTGTCGCCTCCTCACCTCACAGGGCTGAGCCAAGGGGAGAGACGTTTCTCTTCCCACCCAGGGTCCAGCCCTCTAGACCCCTGCTGACCACAGACTCTTCCCGGCCCTCTGCAGCCCAGTCCAGAAGCAGCATCCACACTGCTGTGCTCCTGTGGTCTTGGTTCCTCTGGACTCAGCTGTGTGTGCTGCCTGTGTGGACTGGGCACTGTGTGGCCTCTGTCCCCAGGGGTCCCCTGGGCTGGCCCCGCACTGTCCCAGCTCCCTCCATCTTCTCCAGGAGGATCCTGACCCCTGCCAGAGCCAGCAGCTGCCCCCAGTGCAGTGTCCCTTCAGAGCCTTATGTTTCTTCAGCGACATGTTGCTGTCCATTACATGTTGTATTGATTTGCCTACAGTTGCTTTGCTAGGCCACTGAACATATGTTTGGGAAGGTGGTGGTTTTCACGTCTGTTCATTCTGGTTGTTCATTACCGGGGTTGGTATCTGGTGCACAGGAGGCCTCTGTGAATGAGTGGAGAGAACACAAGCCCAGAGCTGGTGTGGGCTGACTGGTGTTGTCCCCACAGCCACTTCCACCTGGACCACTGTGGGGCGCTCCCCTACTTCAGTGAGATGGTGGGCTATGATGGGCCCATCTATATGACCCACCCCACCCAGGCCATCTGCCCCATCTTGCTGGAGGACTACCGAAAGATCGCTGTGGACAAGAAGGGCGAGGCCAACTTCTTCACTTCCCAGATGATCAAAGACTGCATGAAGAAGGTGGTGGCCGTCCACCTGCACCAGACA